TTTTTCCTCCCCAACTTTTATTGAGGCTCCCTGGTTACAAGTTAGGTTGCAATCCAAAAGATTGGCAGTTCAAAACCACAAGCCGCACCTCTAACAAGATTGGGCTTTCTACTCCCTTAAATACTTAGTGTCAAAAACCCACAGAGGGCTCTGTATGAGTCAGTATCAACTCAGTGGCAGTGGGTTTGGTTTAGAGAACTTTGTAGTGTGAGTTGGGTGAGGATTTATAAAGTAGTCCCTTATTTTGATGTATTGCCAGATTTTTTTTATTACATATTTTGTGATCATTCCTTATATATCTTTGAATAGTTATAAGTTAATGTCCGTAGAATAAACTCATCTAAATAATTGCCATACTGACTATTAATCAGTGTCTTCATTAATGATCAATTCCATTTTTCTAATAGCTTTGCTCTATAGCGCATTTGGTGTTATCATTGAAAAAACGCGAGGTGCGGAAGATGACCTCAACACAGTAGCAGCTGGAACCATGACAGGCATGTTGTATAAATGTACAGGTAGGTACTGTTGAATGTGAAATACATTTGGAGTATATTTTTAGCTATAGTGTTAAAAGGCAACTATAAGTACAATATAATCTAGTGTTCTCTGAAACTGGGAGAGATTTTTTTAGACATAAGACATAGACAAGGGTAAAGACCAAGATTGGCTTCCCCTTAGATCATTTGTTGGAGCTTGTTCCAGTGAGAATGTTATTCCACTGGAAAATCACCTTAATGCTGTCGTGAGTGCAGCTGGTGGTTTTTGTCTGTTTGTTTGTTTGTACTACCTGGAAACCCGTACAAAGTGCACAAAATGCACTGGTGAAGTGAGGGGAGCACAGTCCCTTGTTTTATGTGAGTTGTCTCCATTTACTGGTCTGAGAGGAATAGCGGTCACGTGACCTTTGTCTTGCAGAAGAAAAACTGAATTCAGGCAAGATCACTAGAAGGCTGACTCTGTGTCATTGTTTTTGTTGTTATATTGTGAAAGTGAAACATAGGACTTTGACAAGTGTAGCAATTACATATCCTGTGCTTCCCTCACCACTGCCCTTATTTACAGTAAACATTTACTTGCAGTTTACTTCTCCCAGTAAACACTAAATTCACTAAAATATTTTCACTAAAATTCACTAAAAATTCACTGAAAGTTTTGTACTGCGTAGATCCTTGTTTTTAGCCAGGGATTCTTAAACGTTTGGAGGATAATGAGGAATGTGTCTCAGATCCCTTAGAAATTCTTACAAAACTTAAAAATTTTTGAAAGGTTTGTAAATTCCGAGTTAATATCTCCTGGATTTGACCTATGTTTATGAAAAGGATGAAAATTTAACTCTCTGGAAGTTAAATATTTTATTTAAAGCTTTTGAGTAAATGAAATGCTGGTATTTAGAAGATAAAAATTAATCAAGGTGCAGATTCTTTACTATAGCTTGTAAACCTCTATATTCTACATCCTTCTGTCCCTTGCTACTTTTTAGACTTCATTTTCTAAGCGTCCCATTGCCTTTTAATGCCCATTTACTGTCTTTGTTCCTGCTGTTATCATTTCCTAGAATCGTCCTCCCAGACATTGAGCACACATGCTTCTCTTTTATCTGTCTCTGTTCCTTAATCTTTGTTCATATATCACCTTATGCTTGAGGCAGTTCTCAAATACATACATACAGGTTTGTACATATTTTCTATTTTACTGTAGGACACATTGATAAAAGTCTTAACTATTTAAACAAAGGGTATACTGATTTAAAATGCTAATGAATGCCAAAATACCCTTCCAAGTTTTGCCTATCTTTGTCAGAATTACTGTATTTTTTCCTCTGCATAAAATGTGCCCATGTAAATAAAATAACTTGCATAGAAAAAACCAACGTGCCTGGGTTTATCCAGTTTGCAATAACTGTGTAAGGTGCACATTGTTTGTACAAAATATGGTTAGTGTTGTCTGTCATTACCTGTTTTTAAGCCAATTTGTAAAAAGTATTATGGCTTGTATTCCTTTTCCCTGAATTTTCTCCCATAGAACAATTATTAGAGGCTA